TATTAGCGTTTTCTCTTCGGCAGAATCAGTGACTCTAAAGAGTATCCAGTTGACTCAACTCTGACTCTAATGACCATCAGCGTGACTCGACTCTGACTCGACTCAAATCAGTGTCCCAAAATTTATTTTGGTCCTGGGTGTCAGAGTGGAAAATTCAACCTCCAAAATGATGAAGAGAGTGCAAAATTCAGGTGTGAAAAACCCGACATTAACATGCTTACTCATGAATTGTACATGCGTCAAGAATTGTAGGTATGTTTCTCGGCAGGTGAGCGTGGGACAAACTTAGATATTTAATGTGAATTGGGAGTGATAATCCTGCTAATTAATTTATATTAAAAGTAACGTTTCAGGGCTGTTTTAGGAGTGGAAAATTGGCTCCAAATGTTTCGCATCGGAGGGGAAAATTGCGGCCGTTTTGGGTGTCAGTTCTCACCCAGATCGGCAAATTTTGGGACACTGACTCAAAGCCTTGATTTTTACGGCTGACTCAACTCGACTCGACTCATTTGAGTCAGAGTCGAGTCAAATTTGACTCATGACTCATGAGTCGAGCACAACCCTGCATACAACAATCAACATGTTGCGTGGTGCAGCATTTTTTTTCCAGATCGGGTAAACTGCTGCCTGAATTCCATGAATACTCTCCCACATACATATAGTAAATTTGTAATACTACAATATCTATTTACCAAATATTGAACACCCTGGACACTTTCCTGCTCAAAATTGTGTGAATGCTCGTCCAAGTTTTACAGAATTGCCATAGTTTCTACCATAGCCCAGTTATCATTTTCATTCTTCCTTGGTGTTTGGTATAGTTGGTCGGCTTTTTGTGATAATCGAACAACAACTTGTTCTTGACGCAAATTTATTTTCCGCAGGTGGTGAGCACCTGACGATTCTCCGGAGGCTGGCTGCCCGCGCTGCAAAGACCACAAAGAGGGACCACTTCACAGTACAGCAAGTGTGCACTGCTCCGCAAGTCGCCCTGTTCAAGGAGCACAAAGCTGTGTTTGAAGGCCTGATAAAGGACTCGTGCACGGTAAAAGACGGTAACCTCGTCGTGTTTGCGGAGTCAGTGACTCTGAGTGTGCGGAAGAAGCCTAGCGTGGACTTGTACACGGTGACGGCAAAAATCCACGTGCGCCGTGACCTAAACATTTAGCTCAAGATGTTCCAGCTTGGTGTGCCGCTGGGTGAGGTCGTTGAGTTTTTGAACGTTGGTAGACGCCGACATGTTGTGATAGAAGAGGCATCGATTGAGCAGTTTTTAAAAGAAAAGGTAGCAGCATCTCTTCCAGCATCAGCAAAGGTAGACATCCAGAATGTGAAATCCATCTGTCAGTATCTTAGGAGGCTGACAAAACGTGCTACTGCGGGATCAAAACAAGTCGAGCAGCTGCAAGCAAAAGTGGCAAAGGCGCCTCCCATCAAGGTTCAGTACTTTGTTGGTGATGAATCGATCAAGGCGTTTGTGGACTGCCTGCAAATGAACATTCGCCGCCTGGAAAGCAGCCAATCCAAGAAGAAGTCCAAGAAGAAGAGTAAGCCGCCAAAAGCGCCAGGAAAAAGCCCACGGAACATCCGGAGGATGAAGAGCATGGTGCTGAAAGAGTTGAAGGAAAAGACAGGACAGGAGCATGTTCTGGTGTCTAAGGAGTCTCCAAGGAAGACCGTCACCAGGCTTGATCAGGCGGGAGTCAGCCTCAGAAAGTACCGCCAACTGAAGCTGTCCAACCAACCATCCGAGAAAAAGCTGACAACGGCCAGGAACACTCTAAATGAGCATGCCACCGACGTGGGCATGCTCCTGAAGAATCTCCTGTCGAAATGTCGGTGCGACGGGCCTGCCCGTGTGAAGGTGTCAGTGGACGGACATAACCCGTCGCGCAACATTAGCGCAGTGACATTCTCGCTGTCCCTGGTGTGCGAGAGGGATACACAAAGCTCCAAGTACATCGTGCCTGTTATCAGTCTCCCCGGTGCAGAGACCTACGAGCTGGTGAGAGACTCGAGCGCCTGGGAGCAAATTGAGCGTGAGCTCAATGCAGTGATTGATGTAGGGGGTCGCCACGTGAATGTGGAGTACTATCTGTGCGCGGACTTGAAGTCCATTCTGCTGTACCTAGGGTACAAGAGTGCTAATGGTAGAGACGTGTGCATTTATTGCAGCTGCAATAAGGGCAGGTGGGGTGCGTGCTGTGCGGACGGGAAGTGCCAGGCGAGGTTCCGTCAGGCACCAGATGGTTCGATCGCGTTGCCTGCACTGCGACCCAGTGACCCGGGTTACAAGCAGCCGCCGCTTGTGGACATTACGAGATATAAGTTTGTGATCATTGACATTTTGCACTTGTACTTACGTGTAACTGATCAGCTGTTCGTGCGCTGCTGTAACTTTATGGATAAGCGACAGATCGGTGAATTCCTAGCCGTGTGTCAGCACCATAAGTTAAGCGCGTTCCATCTTCGCGATGAGAACGGAAAGCTGAGATTTTCAAATCTGGATAAGTCCAAGAGAGAGAAGATGATGGAAGCCGTCTTCCTGAAAGAGGCAGTGCTGCGCACGCTGATGCCACCGTCTAGGGCAGATCGGGTGATTGCTGTCGTGGAGAAGTTCCAGCAGGTGTGGAAGCTCATCAACTCCGACGCACCCAACCTCGAGCAGCTGCAAGCATCGGTAGTGGCCTTCACAAAGCAGTTTCGGAAGTCGTTTGCCTCAGACGAGCTTCCAAACTATGTGCACATGATGTGCCATATACCACTGCTGATCGAACATTTTGGATCGCTACGAGCGTTCCAGCAGCAGCGAGTGGAGGCGCTGAACCACGCCATAAACGTCAGGGTGAGGAGCGTCACCAGGCCGGGTGCCATCCAGATGCAGCAAGCCGTTCAGGCGGTGAACAGATCATTGTGGTATGTGTGAGTGTGTGGAATGATGCGGAGAAAACGGTGCTGACTGATGTGAACTGATGTTTCGGCCTAGGTGAAAACGCCAGTGATTTAACTGTGTGTATTGTAATGTGTGCTGCGTTCATCAAGAGCGCTGATGTTTCGTGGTTTGTATTGTAATGTATGTAAATAACTGTATCTAGTAGTACGTCGGTCCTTTAGTATGCAAGGCGTGCAGTGCTGCTGAGGAGATGAGATTGATCGTGAACCGGTGTTCGATTTTAGGTGAAGACCCGCATGTTTTTACCTTCGTGTTGTACTGTAGTTTAATAACTGTATTAACCCTTGCCTGGAATGATATGCGATTTCATAAGGCACGCGTAATGTACGAAATATGTGCACGCCCATTTGCCGTATATTGTTTGGTTGCTCGATTTGTCTTTTGTCTACGCATCAACATCGTTGTCAAGAGCGTTCTGGAGGGCGCTCGCGATGCTAAGTTGAAGTTCTACGATTCATGATGTGACTAGCAACCGCTTGTTTAGTTTTCTCATATTTGTATCTGCTCTGTTTGCAAGTAAACTGCACCTGCAATGCATGTAAGCAAACTGTGTGTTCCTACCTGGTTTGTAAATATACTATTGAGGTTCCCAATACTCGCTGATTTCCTTGTGCGTGGGGAGGGGGAGAGGACGTGAGTGCTTGGAGCGGTATCTGACATTGTGATGTTCATGACACTGGATGACATGACACTGGATTGAGTTGGTCAATTTATTTAGCGTGAAATACTAGCGGTCTTAACACATCAACGACGGGGAGATTTGTTCGAATCGATCCAAATTCTTAGATTTAGTCGAATTTTAAATTTGAAGGACATTGCAAGACCTTGCACATGATGCAATCGTACAAACTGAAACTAAATAATTGCAAAATATGTATTAATAACTAGTACGGCGACTCCCAATTAGTGGAAATCCAGTTTTGAGCGATATTGCAAAATTTTGCAATGTTGCAAGCAATTGAGCATCCAACTATTGCAAAGCACCCTGAGGATGTTGCCATTGGACTCAGCCAGCATCCTCGAATTGGACTGAGGAACTACAGAAACGTCGAAAAACGTCATTTTTCATAACCAATGCAATTGCAAGTGCAATAACGCCGAACTCCCGTGCATCAATGCGACACCTGGTGCACAGTACACATCGCCGTTACATATACACACAGCTCGGTCTCTTAGAAGCGTATGACTCCTTATGAAAGGAATTCAGCAGCAGCTAGAGTGGAAACCTGCAACTTTGAACGTTGACCTAACCATGACCTGACCTGACCCCTCGTGACCTTATGAGAGAAAGTTGATATGGCATAGATGCTCCTCGTTTAGACCCTTCGATTGCTGCCTCGTGCGTCGCGCTATGACCACCCGTTCTCGAGATAATAACAGCAGAAGCGGTTGACGCCGTTAGCGGTCATTACACGTTACGGCGGAAATTAGATGGCCCTACCTAGATTTGAACCCACGCCATTGCGCCACATTTCACTGGAACTTCTCTTTGCCTTTTGCCAAAGTACCGCACCTATTTTTTGTCGTAGGTCGTCCAAATACATACCAATCGAAAGAGAATTTAATAGGCTTTCAATGAAGCGTGAAGGTGAGGGTATGTGGCCATGAACGTTCGACGCAGGGACAGTCAAACCCGAGCTTGGCTAGAAAATGATGCTGATCGAAGGTTAAACCGAGGCTGAAATTTTTCTTTGAGCCCCCGGTACCGCAGTTAAATATCATTTAAATTTGTTTTCAATGGCTGATTCATGTAGAGCTTGAACAGACGATTATTTTGAGCGTGAAGGTGGCTGTGCAGATGGTCACTGCAATGTCACTGCAGTGTCTTTTATGTAAATTTAGCACAATTTCCCTATGGCAAAGGGGTGAACTGAGGTACCACATTTAGGTCCGTGGCCGCAATCTGGGCGCTACGAAACGCTAATCCATGAACAGTGAAAATACTTCAACAAGCCACCACACATGACACAATGTCAGCCCGATTCACAGACCTTACCATCCTGTGTAAGTCTAAGTAAGCTCGCACCGCCAATCGCAAACGCGTATCGAGAGCCGTTGAACTGTATTTGTAGGATGTCACGCCCCTCTCAGCGCAGAGCGGGTGGCGCCCAGTGCAAGCTCACGGTTTCAGCACCTGGCTAAAGGTTATAAAGTGAGGTCTGATCGCAGGCCGCGGGCTGCGCGCCGAATCAGTGGGAGGCTGCTCCACTGTCCCAGCCGATCCGGCTGCCTCCACGCGCGCTCCACCGGCAAACACAAACGGACACACGCCATGGTTAAAAAACGACCGTACAAAACTTCGTGCTTGAAGCTGGCAGTCCTTCGACACCACTTGTAAAGTGAAAGCAGCCTAATGACCAGATGCTATGGCGATTTCAGCCTGGTCATACGACACAAAAAGTGACTGCACGGTTTTCCGTCAGTGATACGTAACGTTGACTCGCTGCAAAATAAACCGGGAATGGTATCACCTACATTATAACAAATTGACGCGTTCTTACACCAATGACCCACCGACCAGATCTCGACATTGGCCCCGAGGAGCACGGCAGTTCAATGTGTGGTTAGACGCTGCAGATATACACCCTCATATTTACCTTAACAACGCTCATATACGCCTCGTCGGCACAATTCAATTTGAATTCCGATCAGTGACGTGGCATTCACACATGAACAGAATATCACAACAAATAACGATCACGGAATCGTTGCGTGGCTAGCGTCACTTAGTGAATACCGGCCGCACTAGAAGTTCCGGCCGTAATATACGTATTCGCCGCCCTCCACAGAGTCGATGGGCATGAAGGTGACGTTCATCAGCCGCTCGCGCGCCGCCATGTCCCCGCACGGGACGCGCACGTGGGCGCCGAAGCAGCCGGAGGTGCGCAGCGCCGCCAGCGCGCAGGCCACCAGCCGCTTCAGGAGGCTGGCGTCGGCCACGCTCGGCTGGACGGCCAGCTGCAGACAGCCCTTGTAGCGCTCCAGCACGGCGGCCGGCGCGTCCAACGTGTCGTCATTGTGCAGCGCCGCTATACAGTTCTGCCAACATAATAATTACCCATGTCGGTAAATAAAACATCCCGTTAGTATAGCAACATATGCTTATATGGTATATGCTGCCCTCTCATGTCCAGGCCAATCGAATCAATCCAGCGAATGAAATAAATCGTGTCCAGATAAATCGAAATCATACAAAACAATAGCACAAGCACGGGAGAAATGTAAGGCGCGAATGAGCGATGTTCCCTACCTCGGCCGGCGAGCGCAGCTCCGGGGAGGTCTTGGGCATCGGGTACTTGGTGCGCAGCTCGTCCAGCCAGGCCATGCGCACCTGGCGCGACAGCTGGTGCGCGTCGGGCGCGGCCGCCACGAACCCCACCACCACCTCGTCGTCGTCCTCCAGCACCAGAATGTGCTCGGGCTGCATCGTCAGGAACGGCGCCACCCATCTAGCCATATCATAGCCAAGTGAGAATTCTACACACGCATCTAAACGCCAAGCAGAATGGAAAACTCCCCACCAGGTATTCGACGGCACGTAACGCAATGCAGAGAAAACATTTTTGATTCGCTTATACTAGGGCGATATGGTCTATAGATGCAGTGCTATGATTTCTAATCGAAATGATATCGCAAACAGTTTTTACATGGTGTCCTGTAGGCTGTATCCTCCCTATATTTTCAGACACCCTGGGCGAGCGATCGAGCTGGTGCCGCGTCTCTGACCTGTCGGCACTGAGTTCTGGATACTGCTGGAAGCTGGGGTGGCGGTCCGAGCTACAGTCGCTCCAGATTCCCCGCACGGCGGCCTCGTCAGTGTGCCGGTAAGGTCGGACCAGGTGCACCTTTGTCAACGGGTGCTCCGGGGACTTGTTGGCCATCAGCTCGTTGGCGTTGTCCAGAGGGAGCAATCGCTGCCAATGAAGACGTGTGTTACCACAATATCTGGCGTTTTGGACACAGGAAATTTGGGTCGACTCAGCCCTTCACCTTGAGCATTTCCATTTTATAAGACCGCCCTTTCTCGCCGGCTACCATTAGAGTGATTAGCGTTATTTATATCTAATTCATGCTTCATTAATGCGAAAATGTAACAAGGATTTATACCAGTCGGGTGTGAGAAAATCGAGAGGATTAAAACTTGCCTCCAGGTCGCCGGTGAGACCACCACGGAATATCCATGGCTCGTTGTCGCCCGACATGAAGGATTCCTTCCAGCCCCTGGAAAACCCTGGCCAGCCGGGGCAAAAACAAGATCAGCAGGACGCCTAGCCTGAGAGGGGAACAGGATAGCCTGGGCCGGTGAAACAATCCAATGTCAGATAGTAAGTAAATAATGACTGAAATATCTCGATAGCTAAGCAATACGCGTTAATGGTAGCGTCAGAAACTGACTACCGAAGAAGAGCGAGGGAAAGTTACTTTTGAATGGCGTCGTACTTATGGCGTTGGTACTTACATTCACGGGGCTACGTTGAGCCCAAAGGGGCAAAATGCAATAGCCTGGGTAAATATTCAAGTATATGCGAAGATCTTTAACACTGGAAACACTTACCAAGAACCAGCACATAAAATTAACCTTCAATGTTCAAATCAGGCTTTCAATACCCACGACTAGCAAACAGCAAACAACTTGAAGAGCAACTTATCAACATTAGAACCTAGGTAGTTACGTTAATGGCCCAGGCTACCCTGTTGCATAGCGGAATGCGCTGGGAGGGAACAGTCGCGATGCGCGGCCACACAGCTTGTCCCTACACAGGCCCTGCCCGGCGGCGCGCGGGAGGCGGGCCGGTCGACGGGAGGCGCCTCGACCGACCGGCCCGCCAGGGAGACGCGGTGCGCACCTCAGGCCCCGCCCCCACTGTCGCCGGGCGGACACCGCAGCTCCGGTGGCTGGTACGCGCCAGCCGCATCACCAATCTATGCTCGCCAGGACACTTATTACAAGTTTGTGAAACTTCGGAAACGGTGTCAAAATGAGCATGGCACCAGCAGTTGTTTGGACACCGAACGAATGTTTCGCTGTCCAGACTCGGTCAATAAGACAAATGAGCATCGTTTCTTATTTTAGCGGTCAAAGATAGTTGTCACTTTTGTAATAAATGAAGATAAAGTGTATCAATGCAACGTCCTCCAAAATGGTAAATGCATGCAAAACCATTTTTTGCCAATGTTATTTGAAAATTATCCGGACGAATGCAGAACGAAGCCGTCTTTCAACCAGCCGGCCGGGCGAAAGCCACAGCGGGGCTGCGGTGTCCACCCTCGTCATCCCAAGATAACGCACAAACGACAACTCGGAAGTTCAGGCGCGCGCGAATGAGATGGTACTCATTCCAGATAATAAAATGGAATTATTTAAGAGTGCCACTCAATCACAAAATGGAATGATTTTGGCACGGCCATCTCTGGTAAGCGCGCGCCTGGAATTCTGAGGCAAATGGAACGCATCCAGCTGAAACGAGCAAAGGTCAGACTGGGCTGTGGAAAAAGGCGGCGTCAAGCGGGGCGTGGCCTGAGGCTCAGGGGAAGGCACGCTCGGAACGGGCAGGGTGCAGCAAAACCAGCGTCATTATTTCTATTTTGGGTTATTTCTAAACATTAAGTTACGCATTATAAGATGGTTAAGCTGCACAATACAATGCTCCGGGAGAGCCTTCCCCTTAATTCGCGATGCGCGCGCGCTGTTGTGGCACTTGTTCGCAGCTTGCCCCGCAATCGCAGATGCCTGACCGTACCACCTACATGTATAGTTGCCATCGACAAAGGTGCCCGCCTGCTCGCAAACCACACCGAGCGCTGGGAAAGAAAAGATGTAATCGGTCAATCAGACTGCTGCCTCCGATCTTGCCTCTGAGCTCCACTGTTCCAGCTGTTCGGCCACAGAAATGATGTTACCAGTTACTGCCGTGCGCCCCCTCCCCCCCCCCCCCATTAACCCGCCCCGGGCGCCGGCGACAAACCGTGGCCTGTGCCGTGGATGCCCGCATCTCTCTCTCTGTCTTATTCAACGCTATGTGCGTGCTGGCGTTCCTGGGTTCTGCATGCCGATGGCAAAAGCAATCGATCGGTTAATGGACCGCCTGGACATTTCGCCGCCTCGTCCAGCTATCAGACAGATCACGGACGAGTTGTCAGACATAATGCTGCATAATTCATATATTTTAGAAAACTTTATTTAATTTAGAAAACTGATGCCTGCCGATCGACACCAGCCATTTCGGATGCAGAAGACGGGATCGCCTGGACGCCTGTCAACCAAGAGGGGTGTCGACGCTCAGTCGGCGCGGACCGCCCCAGCGCAGCAAAACTAGCCTGAACTCTAAGAGCGCAGCTGTCCGGCGCTGGCCGACTGAGCGTGGCACGGAAGGGCCGCGGAGCGCGCTGTGAAAAGAAACTGACCGAGTTTCAACTATGGGAGGCTGCTCGTGGCCTTCATGCGCTCGCTCTTTTAGCACTCCTCGATCGTATAAGCATTGAAATTATAAAATCACTCGAGCCAACATATTTAATTATGGTTTGTCTTTTGTAACCTTCGCTTTAAATCGCGCAACGGGTGCACGATACAGTCTCCCATAGTCAACCAATGCAGTAGGAGGGACCTTAAACGGAGAGAGACGCAGGCCGGTCACAGGCCACCAGCAAACTTTAACCAACCTCCAGGCTCAGCGCCATGTTACTAGTGTCCATTGTGAAATTACTGGACGCGCATGGCACGCGTGTCCGCTGAGGCCTGGCTGCAGTTAAGCCTTCCCAAATCGTGCAGTTTCAATGCCCTTAGAACCCTTAATCCCACTCACACGCATGTTCCTCAACTAAAACACACCATGCCCATTCGCTGGCCCTGCGTGGCGTAGAAAAGTCCGGAGGATGTCCAAAATGAGCCAGGTCAGCATGAAAACGCCGGTAATTATCAATTTACCAGTACAAGTTAAATAATTCGGCATGGTGCATCTTGTGAGAAACACGCTGTATGCTGGCCGAGGTCAAACTTAACCTGCAGCCTCATTTCTGCAGCGGGATACTAACCCAGCCATCGAACGTAGCCGTTAAGCTGCGAGAGCACGCACTCCATGTCCCAAATGTACGGGTACAGATCGTACAGAAGGGACCGGTTCTCGCAGAGAAACAGACGTTTCAGGAGGCGCGTCACCCTCTTCGACATGGCGTCGAACGCTTCGGCACGGTCGTACCACTCCCGCACCTGCCAGGCCACAACGACATGTAGACATGTGGAAAAAGACGATAGCTGCTCTAACAGACCATAATCCTGGATAGATTTAATAGCGGTTTAAGTGCACAATCAGGCCTATTTTAAAAACACAAGTAGAGCTTCAGTAATGGGGTACCTTCGTTGTAAGTAGGCAATCATCACTCGGTAATTGGCCTATTGAACGAAAACCATCGATCGCTATTAATTGGGATGCTTTCTTGAAATATCTCATGAGCTTACCTCCGGGGGGAGCGGTTCCTGTGCACCCTTCCCCGCCTTTGCATAAGGTGCCACCAAATTGCAGTTGGTCTTGAGCCACTGGAAGTCTTTGAGTACCCGATGTCCAGCGGCGCCGTGGTCGAATGGCAGGTAGAACAGATCTGTCATGACTAGTAGGTCGTCCTCAGTCAAGTCCTGTAAAGTGGTTACAGGCCCATAAACCGAGAGGGGCCTTGACGAAACGGATCACATTGCTCAGGTACTATGCGAATGTGTTACGGCTGCTGCTGATAGAAACTGTAACCTCAATTATGCTGATAGCACACTGTTCGTTTTCGTGCATAAACACAACGCACATCATCAGTTGTATGTAGGCAGAAACTAGCTCACCCACCTCTTCTTCTTCTTCTTCATCCTCCACAGACATGGTGACACTGGACGGCGAGTCGGTGGTAGTGGCGGCGCCGGCGCCCTCCGGCTCCACCTGCATCTCGGGCTGGCGCACCGCCGCCGGCTCCACGGACATCGGCTCGCCAGAGGCGGCCGCCGTCGGCTGTCAGCAGAAACACAACACAGCTCAGGTGAGAATTGGGATCCATGGAGCATTCGCAATTCGCATGGCCCGGCCACGCACATCTGGACACTGGGAGCATTGACAAATATTCTTAGCAAGTTTGAAAGGTAGTGCACGACCCCTGATAAGGTGATTAATGTGCTCAGCCTCGCAAGGATTAAAAGCGTCAGAAGAGACATGGAAATCAAAGACCGGTTTACAAACGAAAACCGGACTACATCTCCTGACCTCCAGACGTGCTATCGTGGATGAAGTATTAATTTGACAACGAAGGAAACCATCTCTGACGCAACTCGATACTAAGGATCTGTGGAACAGTCATGGAAAGAGCTTCCTCCGACTATTGATTTGGAAAATTGAGGCCGACTACCTCAGATTCCGTTTTTTCATTTTGATCTCACCTTTTCGGGTTCGTTGCTGGCAAGCGCCGGCGTGGCAGCCGGTACACTATTGCACTCCATTGGCTCGGGCGGTACCGACTCGGACTCGGCCGACGGCTGCTCGGGCAGCTCGCCCGGCGGGTTCGGTACCACGATCTTCTCGTTATCGGCCAACGAATTGAGCACCGGACCGGTCACACCCGGTACCTCCTCCGCCTGCGCCGAGAGCAATTCGTCAGGAAGGAGTCAGCCGCAGGCACGTGATTATCGGAGCTGGCACATAATGACAGAGCTTATCATGACAGAATGGTTGAAGATTGTGGACGTTTAATCAATATCGTCAAAAAGTAGACATTCGGGATTTTTACAGAAACGTGATGCAACCCAGGCAAAATATGATGCTTACCTTCCTGACAAACATCCGATACCTACTTAGCTCCTGTTTAACCTGTGGAACTGACAATGGAATCAAACACAATCACAGGCGGCAACAAAACTCGAAAGTGCCAACAGTCCCGAACCAACCCACTCAAAAGAGTTCGCTTGATCAGCACCTTGATTATCTGCTCCTCCGCAATGGCCTGCAGCTGTTTGACGGTGCCGGCCGGCACGGAGGCGGTCTCCGTCGTTACGGTGGACGTCGTCGCCATGCACGTGTTGATACCCGGGATCGGCACCGGCGCTGCAACGGTCCACAGGGACATCACACAGGTCATACGCGATACAAGAAGCCGATCGCGAAGTCGGCAGGGCAGAGCGTTCCAGTAAAATGGATGCATTAGTTGATGTTGAACTTGAATAAGGTGAAGATGGTTAGATTATACTGCAGCGGTATCGGCACCCCATGGCAATGGTCATGTCTGGCTATTGGATACCAAAGGCAAGCACCTCGTTTCGCGCAATCAATGTCGATCGACTGGTGATCTCACCCGGTCCTTCCAGCGCGCCGGGGGTGATGGTCAGCACTCGCTGCTGCAGCACGCTGGGTGCCGTGCGCGCCTTGTTGAACTCCGGCAGCCACTCGCGCAAAGCCATCCGCAGCGCATGTCTCGGGTGGTACACGTCGGGAGGTACCTGCTGCGGCTCAGAGCCTTCCTCCGACTCCGTTTCCAGCCGGATGTCTGCTGAGAGCGGGTCATCTGGGGAATAGCATGAGTGGATCGTGGGTCAGAGACCACCACTAGCCTGTCCTGACAAACACAAAAGGGGAAATAACATTATTAAATAACATAAACAATATACGAAAAATAAGCGAGCAGTTGCCGCGAATGGCGAATGGCTACGGATCCCAGTACTCACTCTGGGGTCGCTGCGGCTCTCCATCTCGCTGGCATTGCGCCCAGTGTGCTAGCGTGCGAATAGCCACGAAATTGACGCCGTACTCGCAGTTGGGATTCGTCAGCACGCCGCGAAGACGCGACTTCAGCTCGACCGACCTGCGATTCGCGAACATGGTTGAAATAACACAATGGTCTTTTCAAAGCTCCAAACCGATTAAGTGCATTAAATTTAGCCAATTGCTCAGTTCAAAGCAGAAACATTACGTAATGGACGCACACCTGCGCTGGTGAACAAAAGGGTTACGATACCACGCAACATTAATGCAATATAATTTCACAGTGCATATATAATGCGTTCTACGTAACCTACAGCGTACAGTAGGGCGTACTGACCTGCCAGAGTATGGGCCCATATAGAGTCGCTTCTGGTCGTAATCGTTAGCATGCAGGTTGTCCCAAATCACTGGCGGACGCTTCAAAACCTCACGCAGCTCTTCTATTGCCTCTATGGTGAGCACCTTCGAAACCACCTTGGGACCTAAGAAAGCAACAAGTTGTGTTTAATGATTGGTAGTAGGGTACAACTGGACATTGTCACATCACAATACCTTAACACAATCTGACATTACAGTAAAAACAGGAGCCTCCCACAGAACAACGGCTATATGCTGCCACCTTAAGGGCTGCTAACGCTGTAGCTAGTACGCAAAAACGGACGGTCTTCTATCAGCTACGAGCTGCTCACCGGTCCACATGATGTCGATGTTTGGTGCCAGTTTGCTGCCGATGGTGCGCAGGTACTCTGAGCCGGAGACGGTGGGAATGGCACGGGTGGCGCAGTACTGCGTCGGGCAAAACAGGAACTGGGGCCGGCTGAGGTGCTCGTTCATCTCATTCGTCACCGTCACCTGTCCGACATAAGTAGTTCAAAATAATTATTTCTTCTATTCCGAATTTCTAGTCTAATGAGGGTACACGAACTATGTAAGTAATGGGAGGACTAAATAAACTTACGTCAATTTTCACCTCAATTTTCACATATCTACGATGCTTAAGTATTCTTCAATGGGGCTATGTGGTAAGTCACGACTATCTGTGCGTTATTCATTTAAGTTTCATTGAAGTAAACCAACGAGCAAACTGTCATCGCTTGCCGTTGGCTACTCCTGCCAATAGAAAAGCTGAAGTGATAAAGAATGCAAGGTCAAACTAATATTGACCGTGCAAGTTTGTAACCTGCAATTCACTCCGATTTAGCCAACAAAGACTGCATAATTGAACAGATTCTAACCTGAGCATGCGCAAAAGACTGAAAGACCTGCTTATCTTCTTCACGCATTTCCGGGTCAATGTCGTCGAACAGAAGCGCAAAGGATGTGCAACCAAACTGAGAAACCTGTGGAGTGAATAAAACGTCAGTTATCACATTAGTGTTCATAACACTATAACCTTGACAAGTTCGTGCAAATGTCTGCAAATGCAAGTGCAAAGTTCCGTCTCCCGAAGCTGTTAGTTATTTAATGTTTTTGATGTGTATCTGCTATTCTAATCAATAATCGTATAGTAAACGGCACCAAACATGTAATCCTGAGTGAATCGAATCAGTAAAGAAAATTTGCGCTTCTTTAAGACAATTAAACCTTACAGAAGTTTTTACCATTTATGATACCACTACCAAGATATGCATTGAAATAGCATACTCTTGTGAAAAAATCCTGTTAAAGAGTTCAGCTTCACGCTAAGTTCCATAAATAGTTCACAAAGCTAACGCTTGTAACTAACATTCCGATGAAAGCATTCATGCTTGACAAAGTGTTTTGAATAACGTACCTGGTCGAGTTTACGCTTGAGGGCTGCTATCTCCTTTTGACTAGAGTAGGTGATGTCCATCCCCGGCGACAGGCCGTAGATGAAGGTGATGCCATGCTGATGCGCTGTGCGGATCAGCGAGGTAAGGTGTTCCGCCTCCTCAACAGTGTACAGTTCGCGCCAGTAGGCTCTGTGTTTGTAGTCATCCTTTGGTGCGTATAAGTATGACGTCATACCCCACCTCTTCATCCTGCATAACACATCAAAAACATGTTTATTTGCAATGATATGATAGCTGACATTGAAAGACATGACAACGTTACCAAACTCACAATTTTGTGGTAACAAATCTCTTGGAAAACGATTTGGTGCATTAGCACATGCCCCTAGGATAATTCGCAATTTCATATAGAAACTCACTGCTCGTTCCATTCAACAATTCAATGTCAGACAACATAAACCGCGCACCAATCATGGGAGTCCGGGCCAGCTTTGCATCGACGGAAGAGGAAGGGGGATTAACGTCCCCTTAAGATTTGAAAAACAAAGCAACTTAGCAACAAGCGGTTTAAGACATTGGATGAAATAGGACAAGACTTAATTTCTCCTCGGGTCTATTTCGTCAGATAAAAAAAAAATGATGTGACAGTCCACAGGGGTCAAAACAATGAAAAAGTGGCACAGAAGGACAGGGAATTTTACAAACGAGTTTTCAACTCAACAAGCCAGAGCAGAAATACCAGCACAATCAAAATCTACTTGTCAATACGCATCAATATAAAAACGTTTGGACCTTGAAGGGTCAAAGTCATAACTTGATTTAAGCATAATATTTGAAGGAACAGAGGATCGTGGCAACTGCTTGATGAACAGGCTTATCATACTTACTTGCCAAAAAGTTCCTTTCTCTGTTCTGCAGTCCATGGTCTCCCATAGAAGCCTGGAAACATTAGATCCAATGTAAATAGTAGGACAACATACCTCAATGACATGACTGATAAAACTTATCATGCCTATGAAATTGAAGATTTTTGCTTTGCTTGGCAAGTTATGTCTTTACTCTTTACCCACGCTCTGCTGGGGGGAGGGGGGGGGGGTGTTTGAACACACCCCGCGGTTTCCGCGAATGTCTAAAAAAAAAACGGAGGCACTACGTGCCGCTGATTTTGGCACACCTTATCAAACATCTTTTTTACACAAGTTATGTAAATTCCAGACCAAGGTCTCTCAAGGCCAGGTCACCATATCTGAGACCAGTTTTACCAACAGAAAAATAGCCGCCTGCCTGATTTTTTTTTTTTGGTCAAAAGACCGCTTTACATACGGAGCGTAAACGGTTAAGCCCTATCCGCTTACGTGCCCATCGCTTACGTGCCCAGACCGCTTCACATACGGAGCGTAAACGGTAAAGCCCCATCCCCTTACGTGTCGATCGCGTTTACGCTCCGTATGTGAAGTGGTCTTTGTAGGCAAACAATTCCGGCAGGAGGCTATTTTCTGTTGGTAAAACTGGCCTCAGGTCAAGTAACCTAACATCAAAATAAGTTTAAATGCTTGCTATAGCTACGCCAAGTGACAGGTTGCTTCAAGCCTTAAGCAATTCATAAGGGTAACGGTATGTACGAAATTTATATCACAATTTTGAAATAGGTGACCTAAGGTCAGGTCAATTTTGCGCCCTCTCCATTATATGTCAATGGAGAAATCAAACAGCGAAATGGGGAATCGTGGCAAAATGGGAAATCAATTCGAGAAAGTTGAAACGGTAATTTATTTTTGGACGAACGTCATTCTAAAAACTGTCAAACTAAAAGATATACAAGTTAACATGACACACCAAACTGGAAAATGGCACCTGTAGCCCCTCCTTATGTCCCTCCTAAGTCCTACAGTTTTTTTTTTTGCTAGATACTTTTGATGGAGGCATACCAGAGCAATGAAAACACCTTAGCTGTGTTCAGCTCGACGATACGGAATGACTGATATGCAACACGACTTTTTCCATTTCCGGTCAGGTCATGACTTTGAGCTGAGATCAAAATTTCAAATTTGTAACATTGTCAGCCGCTGTAGGCCATATGTCAGAGCTTGTACGACCGAGGCGACCCCTACTCGGAGTCGTCGATTGCGCCGGCCGCCGCCGGGCAGTCAGTCGCAGTCTCCGTCTCGGTCTCAGTCTTGGTCGGTCTTAGTCTTGGTCAGTCTCTGCCGAGTCTCGGCAGCCCACCGACGATTCACGCTCGGTCACTCGCTATGTGACCCAGTCTCTCTCTTGCTCTCGGTCACTCTCCTGGACTGTCTCTATCTCTCTATCTCTCGTCTGTCTCGAGTCAAGAAATACAGTGAGGCAGGGTTGTGCTTGACTCATGAGTCGAGTCAGAAATTTGACTCAACTCTGACTCAAATGAGTCAGATTTGAGTCGAGTCGGATAAAATGTTGAGCTGTTGAGTTGAGTCAGAGTTGAGTCAGACAAAAATATTAAGGTGTTGAGTTGAGTCAGAGTTGAGTCAGTAAAATAACTTTTGACATTGAGTTGAGTCAAAAACATTTAGGAACATGAGTCAGCTGACTTAACTTACTAGAAACAATATATAGTATAAGTTTTTCTTTCTCCCCCCGCTTAAAAACTTAGGCCTGGCCCTGCTGCCGGATTTTTTCACCCCCCCCCCCCCCGCTCAACAACTTTTTATCTGAGTCAATTTTGAGTCAAGGCACTTGACTCAACAAAAAATTTGAGTCAAGTTTGAGTCAACTCATATTTTCATTGAGCCGCTTGAGTCATGAGTCGAGTCAAGGGAAAAAATCAGCTCCTTGTTTGAGTCAAAGTTGAGTCAGGGCATTCTGAAGTTGAATGATGAGTCGAGTCGGCAAATTTTTTTGAGTCAAGCACAACCCTGCAGTGAGGTGCCGAACTGAACTCTTTTTATCAAGAAGATTCCACGGCGAACATTTTAATTTGTTACAAAATTGACCTTTCAAGTCAAATTATGGGTCATTTGATGCGTCTCGACGAGAGGAACATGACACTGGTAACATTAAGCTCGTGCGAGTTGTTTGGAGTCAAAAGCTACTGCAGAAAAAAAAAACTTTCTGAAAAAAGGATACTTTAGCTTTTTTCTTGATTATTTGTGGCACATCCCTTTCTCTGTAGCAACAATGGGCACTGTATTGACTAGCTAAAATGCATTTCTGAAAAAAAAAATAGTCCCTAGCACAAGAACATAACAGGGAGGCAGCAATTACAAAAATATCTTGGCTTAGAATGCTTTGAGCCTACATTGAAATGTATGCAAAGCATGAGTTGTAACTCCAGATATTTCAGATTTGTTAAAAAAAAAAAATGGAAACTGTGCTCACAACAGCAGTCAGCATGGGCTGATTGGCATAGCAAAAGCACATACTGAAAAGTGAAAACTAAATACATCTGATAATATAATGCAGAGTGGGGAAATGTTATGGCTAGAATAGTTTAACGCCCAAAAATATTTGTAACAGGTTATTTGAAATTAACTGTTCAATTATCTAGACCCCAACCATGTGCATTAGGGAGGCAGTAACATAACAAGCTTTTTAAAACTTATTTGTTCAAATTTCACTTTTGTTCACACATTCGAAAGTTGAGAAGCTATAAGGAAAGCAGTTTGCCCACTTAGTAGGCCATTGCATGAAAATTGCCAGCTCACCACCATTCAATCAAGACAATTTAAAGCGTTCCGGACCGTGATCACCAGCCACACACATCATGAAGGTTGTTTTTCAGAAATATAAACAAAATGCTGACTACCTGACCAGAAATATGAATGTGAAAAAATCAATCGTTTCAATGGCTACCTCCATCTTTGCATGATAAATGCATATTATATTTCATTAAAAATGCAGTAATTTTATACCTGGCTGGATTTTGTAACACTTGGCTTTGGTTATGTCGAGTTTGGAAAATAGGTGACCAGTACAAGCACATTCAATAGCTGATTTTGCTGTTTGGGCTTGGGGATTACTTAGGACCTGCTCCAGCATCTCCAGTGGAAATTCTTGACTGGGGGCTCTTCCAGGGCCTGTTCCAGTGCCTCCAACACAAAGCCTACGTAGACTGGAGGCTCTTCTTGAAAGTTTATTTAGAGGCACAGGAACGCAAGCTGGAGATTTCTAGTGATTTATGTCAGGGACAACCAAAAGAATGATGATAGTTCACTCTTCAAAAGCAATATTTCTGTTCAATTTAAAAAAAGATTAAAAAAGTATCAGGATGTGATTTTCTTCACATTTGAATTGTCAAATTAACTGTCAAAAGTCCTTTGTTTGCATTCATAATTGTCACATGGGTCACAGACTTCTCTATATATATATAGAGAAGTCTGTGCATGGGTGCAATTATTTTAGACAGGAGGGGCATTCCACGTCAAATCGAACAAAAATCGGCTGTTTTGCACCTTACCATCAGCGATTTCATTATAAATTTGTGAGCGAGTTCCTGTGTGGCCCCGGACATTACATTGATGTTTTTTGCACATTCTGACCACAGGTCTTCTAAATATAGGGCATCAAATTTTTACAAAATGTTGCATCTTTATATTTTTGAACGACCATAACTTTGGTTGTACTTGTTTGATTTGAATGAAATAAACCTTACTGTTTAGGTAATTTCTTAAGCATTTGTTTAGAATTGCACCTACTTAAATATATGACCTTGAAATTTGCTTAACTCTGTTCTTAAGCACAAATATTGAAATAGCAAAAAACACGTCACCTTCGATTTGGCTCATTTTCATATATTTTATTGCCTACCATATTCTTAACAAGCTGTGAAAAAATTAGAGTGGGCCATTCATAAGTTTTGAAGAAAATTGCACATATGCAAACGTATGTTAGCACGCGCAGTGGAGGGGGAAGAGCGAATTTCGCCCACCCCTCCTATTTTTCGCCAATATCTCATAAGATTAATGCGGCATTAATTATGGCTACCTGTCAATAATTGAATTGGACATCTCATCGTGCAAGCAATAAGAAAATCGGTTCACAACTGTTCTAGTAATAGCGGTGTAAAGTGAACATCCTGTCGCCGCAGCGACGCGGCGACTCGGCAGCCGGCGCCGACCGCTACGCGCCGCCTGAATTGTAGACTGTGCCGGGACGGAACGGAACGGTTCCGTCTTTACATCGCGCTCCCTACCGCTGATTACGTTCGATTCGCGTCAAATTTTGTGAGAAGACTAAGAAATGTACAGACAATCTTATGGTGAAAGAATTTTGAAAATCGGTAGGTAAACAATTGAAATATGAACGTGTTAACACAAAATTGTGATTGCTGCGTTTCCCGCATCGGCCGAGCCCGCCTCAGCCGGCGACATGTTACTCTTAGTGCAGGCCTCTAACTGCCATATTTATTATTGGATTAACTAGAAATTCCCCATACATACTAAAAAATGTATGTTCTTTCGTATAGTTAAGATCAAAAGGCGTGAAGATATCGTTGCGTGATAATGTTTTCGTTGAATTTACTTCATGATGCATTTCCACACGGCTCAAAATTCACCGCAAAATACCGTTTGCCTGCGACACTTTTACTATAGAACGTGAATGCTTGACTACGATGACTATGCATTTCCATTCTCGCAGAGTTTGGGATATCACTAATCAGCAATCATTCATTTCAGAAAGTGTACACAAGCAAGCATGTCTTGACTCTGTCTTTCAAGGTCACGCGCGGTTGCGTGATGTTGATGCATGAAAACGGCGTTTGCCGCGAAAGTTATGAATGGCCCACTCCAATTTTTTCACAGATGGTTAGGAACATTGTGACGGACATAATATGTAAAAATTACCCAAATCGAAGGTGACGTGTTTTTTTGCTATTTTAATTTTTCTGTTTTAATTCAAGGTCAAATGCATTTCAAGGTCACTTCAATTTAATTTTATAATTAAAAATCAAAGCCTTATCAATTGCCTATAAGACCCTGTTAATATCATTTTGATACCAGAAAAGGAACCAGAGTTATAGCCATTTAAAAAATTGATGTGTGGCATTTTTCGCTATATTCGATGACCTATATCTCAGCGATACGTTATCAAATTTCGAAAATATTATACGTAACTCAGTTTTGAACCATGCCCAGTCTGCCTACAAATTTTCAGAAAAATCGAAGGGGATGACGGATTTCGGTGTTTGATTTGACGTGGAATGCCCCAGGAGCCTCCAGTCAAATGTGGATCCCCTGACTGACTGGAGGCTGCTGGAGGTTCCTTGTTATTGAGCTTTCCGGAGCTGACTGGGGGTGTAGGAATGCTGACTGGAGAATTATTGAACTCTCTGGAGCTTTCTGGTGTTTTCTGGAGCCACTGGATTAGGCTGTCAATGAAATACATTTTTATTCTGTGCTAGCTTTGTTTGATGAGCAGTTGTGTAGCTTAGCGTGCATGCCTCCAAGCAGGTTGCCATGCACGTCGCATTTCCAAAAATGGTGATGGGCGTTTCTATTTCTAGAATAATTGGTGTCCAGTGTTTGCATTAAAAAAAAATACCAAAAATCAAAACATTTCAATGAACGAACCACAGATACTATAGTGCGTCGGAATGATGCTCTATCAACCTGTGCTTTTGTTTGCTTGTTTATTGGGGCTTAAGGGCGTGCCAACTTATCAACCTGTGGTCAGTAACATCAAATATTGTCGAACAACCATTAGTCCAGCAGTAGACTAGGTCAGTTGGTGACATACCAGGGAAATAAGCTAAAATTAGAGCGCTCTATTTATTGCTCCTGCCCCATGTTGAAGAGATACCCCTAAAAGCGTGATCTTTTATCGGCCCTTACGCAGCAAGGCAGTAATTCTCAGACCGGTGGATGGTATCAATAGAAAGAGAATGCATCAAAGATTAACATGAATTAATAAAAATAACATTAAAATGTTAATTAAGCGTGGAAATTAGTCCCAAACATAAGCTAATTATTGCTCCTACCTCGGCGACGGCGCTCCCCGCAGTCAGCGGAGAAGCTAAAATAAAAGCCACCATCCTCCTCCGTAAGTCAATTTTAGAGCGGCCGAGTGGGCCGATGCGGGGCCACCAAACTGAGGTGAGACGCGGCTAGCAATTGCAAACCGCCATAGAAATCAATACGTACAATATGGGATGATTACTCTGAAGCTGGAGTGAAGGCATGAGTAGATTGCAAGAAACGAAATGCATAGATTGGTTGAATTATGTACAATAGGCACAGCTCAGATGAAGCCATTTCTATGATGTTGACATATGACATAACCCTTCCTCTCCTCACCTATGACCTAAGTGCATTGGCAGTTACCGGCATAGTTTTTGAGCACGAGTGTAATTCGCCATCGGGCCGCAATGCATGTTGCTAGGCTGCTGCAATTACAACGAACATACGAATACTGCCTTCATTTGTAGACGTTTGTTTTTTTAGGCGGTCTTTGACGTGCAAGGGGGCATACCTGTCGACAACATGAGTTTCTCCGAATTTCAAAAACTCCCAGAATTTCAATTCCTTATGCACTGTTGTAGGTACAGCTATGTTCACAAGTTTTCGTTTCCTCCTGTTCTAGAAAGGATGATATTTGTCGATTTCGTGCGTCGCTGATAGGAGGGTGCGTTTAATAATTAGGCCCAACGCTTTCTGCATCCGCGAGTACCTTCAAAAGGGAACAACAGTTTCCATTTATTACACTATGGGACATGTGACAAAATGACAACTGGAACACGCATGAAACGGAGCTCATATCCCTAAAAATGTCTACAATCACTTCTTTTCTGACACTATTAGCAAATACCATCTCAAGTTGGGTGGTTGACAGACAGTCAATGGAGATCTGGGGAGACTGAGTGATGCCAATTCACCACTTAACTGATAATGAGGGCCGAGGGAAGAGAAACATGCAACATGCACAACTGACAACTTGACAAGTGACAAAACACTACCACTATTGCGCAGTGCACAACAAATTACAGCAGCTAGCCCAAAAAATGCTTTTGGTGGCTAATTGCAAAACGAGTCACTAATAAATGTCTTAGTTGCAGCTGAACACTGCACAATAATCACACTGTTCACACATTGAGTGAGATGCCACAGGTGGTTTGAATCACACTTTGATTCAACTGCAAATCTGAAGTGTTGTCATGAGGTTCATGCCTCCATGATCACAGCACTTTGGTTGTGGTTGGCATAACACTTGTAGTCTGCAGAGTTCCACATGAACTGCAGACACCTCATCTGGTGGTCTTCATGTTGCTCAACTTCTTCAGGAGGCAAATGTCGACCACCCAGCGGAAGCATGGTCCTGCAGAAAAGAAAGGTAATGCATAAGGTACAAACATTATCTGCTGAAACAGCCCCTTCAATTGGCTGTTATTAAACTTTTAACATAACATAACAACATGTATTCCATGTATATTACATTTGTTGAAGTAAAATACTGCTGGCTATTTCAAAACCAGAAAATGTAATTATATTGTGGCATAATTCACATGCTCAGCTATCAGTATCAAATAATAATTAATTTAATATTTGGCATATTCTATATAACACATTCATGGAATATTCTACTTCACGTCACAAGGACTCACAATCTTTCTGTTGGGTGTTTGATTGACGCATTAACTAAGTTTGTCTTAGGTTTTCTTATTGCAAAAAAAAATCATATTGCATTATTGTATCAAAATACTGCCAGCAATAACAAAACAAGAACATGAAATGTCAATGAGCAATCCGCCTTTCCTAAAAAGGGATTACTTTGAAAGGAATTTTAGTTTCTTTTCAGGAAAAGGAGAAATGATTATCAGGTAATTATCAGAAAACCACTCAACCAGCAAGTGGCTGGGTGGTTTCACAGCAAACATCAAGCCAAAACATATACTTACATTTATCTAACAATTGAGCCATTTGACTACTACAAGGATATGTGAGCAAAATAAGAATCCAATTATCCTATGTTGACTTCCTTGCAAAGTTTATGCCTTATTTTATGAAAACGTGTCACTAGAATATGATACTTATCATCGAATATTATTTAATTTACGATTTATTTCGATCGGAATGCACATGGAGTCCCGCGCCATTTTCGTCGACGATGAATATGATCGTGTTTCATGAAGAGATAAGGGGTTTCAATGGTCTTTCAAAGCAATAATTTGATGCAAAAATTTGTAGGAAATAATATAAAGCTGGTTCAAATGGCCATCAACCATTTAAAACACCGAAAATACTCACAACTCCGTCCCGACGACCACGCAGCGCCGCGCACGCCACACTACTGGCACAATGCCAAAACTGCTGTCACAGCGGAAATGTTTTTTTTCTCGATTGCAATTGTGGAATTATTTATTAAACAGAAGATGATCTTTCCGAAAAACCGACTGATTTCATACACAGATGCATGGAAAATAAAAAAATCCCGGTAAGTTTATTTGTATTGTTTTGTCGATTTTGACATGCTCCTAGTTTGCAGCCATATTTCGATATGTTCTACAGGGAGTTCAGAATTATTTCAGGACCAATCTTTTCCTCATTCATTTTCCCGTCGATCATGAAATTTTTAGAGCGGAACAATTAGTTTCCAGGCGGTCCGAGCGGTTTTCGTGAGAAGGGTGCAAAAATCGGCGTCATTTTTAGAGCCTCGACACCAGCTCAACACAGGACCCTATGGGAGACGGTGAAGTAGCGGGAGCAATAAATAGAGCGCTCTTATTTTAGCTTATTTCCCTGGTGTGTCACCGACTGAGGTAGTAGGTACCTACTCAAGCAAATAGATTTTAAGTTGTTAACCATGGTATAAACTTATTATTAACAAATTACAAAATAGGCCTACAAGTCTAAGAATTTAACCATGGTATAAGCTGATTAACAAATAAGGTACAAAATACAATTAAAAGTTACAAAGTGTGATTATAAAAATAAGCGATTAGGTACCTGCCAACCCAAACTTACCCTCAACAACTCCACACAAAAACTTGCTTGGATCATGAAGTAAGTTCTTGTTCCCATCTAGGGCATTCTCCCCATTGGGGATACTGGAAGAGCTTTGCCCTACTTCTACGCTTTCACTTCGATCCTTAGAATTCGAAGCCATTCTGGATTATCTAGAAGCTCTATCTCATCACCTGTTTTCAACTAGTGGTGATTTGAAGCTGATATTTAATTTTTTAGGGTGTTGAAAATAGCAGAGTGAGTATGGCTCTCAATACAAAATATTTGTCGATTTTCTTGATGCAGGAAAATATCTGGGCGAGGGCCACTTCAACTTGCGTTCGCCTACGCCTAGTCACTTGGTGATGAAAAGTTATGTAGAATATTAGTAAACGCTCAATATCTGTAGTACAACACTGGGAGACTAGCCGGCTAGGGGCAAAGTCATGCAAATAATCCCTTGAGTCACAACCGCTAAGAACAGCTAAGAAACTTCGCAGTTGACAGCAGTGAGCAGCAATGGCGGCGCTCTGCAAGTTTACAGCTGATATGTATACGTTCGTAAAGTGTTGTTTAACTGTTCTGCTCGTTTTGCGATTGAATTGAAAGGCTTATTTTTCGAAAAGTTAAATTTTTGTTGATATTTTTCCATAAGAAATATTGCTCATCATATTTGATTTTAAAAAGTATGGACTCATATGTATATAACGAACGAGTACGCATATTTAGAGGTGGGCAATTTATCCGAATGTGGTACTTGATCTACAGTCGCGTTTTGATAGGTACTTGCTTTGGTAATGAGCATGGGCGTCGAAAGCGGGGGGAACGGGGGGGGGCGGACGCGTCTCCCCCCTGTCGAGGAATCCGGGGCCCGGGGGAGTCCTCCCCGAAAACACCCAAGATTGCTAAAAAGATGACTATGAGTTATTTATTTGCAGGGCAGCCATGTAAACAGAAATAAACCTTCGTCAAAAGTCAAAACAGTGCTTTCGACCGACAAATAAGACCTCAGGTGAATTAAAATGTAGGTACTTGAGTAGCTTTTGAAATTCTTTCGGACCCGTCAGAGACCGGTGAGCACACTGGAGGTTGCAGCCGCAGTAGCAAAAAGGGGGGGGGGGAGCAAAGTCACACTCGCGGGACATAACATTTTGTAATAGAATTTAAACAACCGAACACCAGTAGCGCCCAAAAGTCTCTCTGTCAACTCTCTGTATTCACCAATGCTCCAAACAAATTTGCACGTACAACTATTTCCGCGTGGAATAATTTCACGCACTTCAATAATCATACCACTTCTGACACACGCCCCTCTGATCTTCAAGATCACCAAAACGCACACACACAAAATATCAAAAACGTTATCTTCGGTCATAGAACCGCGGCCGGTTTTGTGACCATCGTCGGTCACAAAACCGGGCACCATAATTGGTAACCAAACCATTAGCGTCGCCACGGGGGGGCAAGCGGGGCAGCTTGCCCCCCCCCCCAACCTCGGACCGGGCACCCCCTGAGATCGATACAGATCCGATGAGATTTTGGAGTCGGGGAAAATGGGGGTACCTTTCTGAGAATGCCTGTGAGGTCAGACTCTGTTGGAGCGTGCAGTTCAAACCAAAGTTAGAGTCGCAGTCGCCAAAATCTTCAAGACTCCGACTCCAGACTCGGAAATGTCAATGCCATGATCCATGCCATGTTCCTAGTTGGTTCTGTATTACATTTTGTAGCTGATTTTCATAAATTTTGGAGTGCTGACACATAATTTTCGTTCAAAGCGTGACACGAAATCTTCGGGGCCTTTCTCAACTCTCGTCAAATGTCTGCGACAGGCACAAGTACCGTTCAAGTGCCGCAGGGCTCATGAGCCTGCTTTTCACACAGGCTCCTAAGGAGCTCCACTGAGCTCTAAGAAGCTTTCGGAGGGCCCAAACCGGCCTCTGAGAGTCCCACTGGTGTCCATGTTCTCTAGAGGGCCCATACAGGGATCTTTGAGGACATTATACATACGTAGACCTCTGAAGGACCACACGAATCTTTGAGGATGCCTTCGAAAATTTCTGAAAACTTCAACTGGCCTATGATAGTTCAGCCGAACTTTTGAGGCGACAGACTTTACTAAACCCCAACCCGGCATCTGAGGGGTCACAACTCACGTGTCCCTCTGAGGGCCGCAACACATGTTTCTTATGTCCCTAACAACGTAGGGTCCTTAAGGATTCGACACAGACCCCGACGGTTCACACTGTTATTCGAGGGCTCCAGGCTCACCCTGGGCCTAGTCTCTTATAGCGCCCGCCGCCCACACTGGCTTCTGAAAGCTCGTGTGCCCTAAAGGGCTTTCCGGGCCCACCTTAGGCTCGGAAAGCCCTAAAGCACCACATACACGTAAATATTTGGGGTGACCCACGCCGATCTCCGGGATCCTAAGCAGGCTTCTGAGAGTCCACACTGACCCTCAGTGGCCTGAAATGGCCTGGAAGTCGCAATCCTATCTCTAAGGGATCCCTTGCCGCTATGCCGTGCGTAACTTTTGGTTCCGTTAAATATTTTTGGTCGCGTTTGCAGCGCTTCCCTTCACTCGAAAAACCAGAAACTTTTTGTTCACACTCGAGTGAACAAAACACTTCTCAATGCAGCAAGGATGAATGATGTACTTCCGATTCACACTTCCGACATTCTCTCTCAATCTCCGCCGAATGCCCAATTCTTAGCTACCTACAATCGGCGGCTGGGATAAGCCCTATGCATTTCACGTAAAACCTCGGCATGCATGCGTGAATGGAGGTTTTAGCGAGGTGATCCGATTCAAATGGAGCGTTTTTCACCTTCTTCTGGGTAATGATCATGAGCGACGAGAGTCTGCGCAGGGGCCCTCTGCAGTGCGTCGGCAATCGCAGCCACTGTAATTCTAACGGTCGTTTTTGTCCAGAAATTTCAAAGTTTTGATTTTTTTGTAAAAAAAAATACATGCTATAGCTAGAAGGAAAACTTTGTCACCATCGGATTCCTCGCACCATTGCGCGTCGAATGATATGTAAAACGAGTGAGTAACGGCTGGGGAAAGGCAAGATTTAACACAAAACTTGATTTTGCCCCCCCAACCGAAAATGTCTGGCGACGCCTATGAACCAAACCGTGCACCTTAATCGGTCAACAAACCGGAGCACTCGCCGCTCACCACCCGGGCACCATCACCAGGCACCATCGCCGGTCTCCAGCACCGGTCTTCGTTACCGGTCTCCAGCACCGGGCTCCATCACCGGGCTCCATCACCGGGCTCCTCCAGCACCGGTCTCCAGCACCGGGCTCCACGACCAGTCACCATCACCGGGCTCCATAACCGCGGTCTCCAGCACCGGGCTCCATCACCGGGCTCCAGCACCGGGCTCCATCACCGGGCTTCACCACCGGGCTCCATAACCGCGGTCTCCAGCACCGGGCTCCATCGCCGGTTACCATCACCGGACTCCAGCACCGGTATCCAAACTGGACAAAATCGAATCGATCGTTGGTTCGTTGTCGTGCCTCGCCTCTTCGCCATTTTTAGCTTTCTTTATCTTCCCTGCCGAATTTTCCCTTATTTATACAATACCGTAACTAGACCGAGATAAGGCCGAAATAGCTTGTAATAGAATTTAAACAACCGAACACCAGTAGCGCCCAAAAGTCTCTCTGTCAACTCTCTGTATTCACCAATGCTCCAAACAAATTTGCACGTACAACTATTTCCGCGTGGAATAATTTCACGCACTTCAATAATCATACCACTTCTGACACACATTTATCCACCACCGGGGGGGGGGGGGGGTGATCAACTCAGTTTTTAAGTGTGTAGCAAAATTACGCCACGAAGCGCCGTGCAGTTCGCATAACTTATGCTAGTAGTAGTAGGTAGTAGTAGTAGTAGTAGTAATAGTAGTAGTAGTAGTAGAGTTTATTGACACCAGGTGCATGTTCAAATGATGTAACTTAAAAATAGAAATAAACGCGGATAAAACACATACCTTAAAATGCACGTAAATCAGTGTCCATAAGTAACATACACGTGCACTAAATGGCTAGCTAAATTCGAAGCCAGACACGCAAAGTCTAAAACACAAAAGACAATATAAAAACACACAACTACCTTCCTAAAACTACCTTCCTCTATTAGCTTAAGATCATGCGTCTGCTCAAGTACGAGGCGACAGTAGTTGGCCAGATCTGCTGATTTTTCTGAATCCATAAGAACCCTTAGGTTGGCATAGGTAAGTCTGGAGTGCCGGGTCCGGTCCGAGCTGTCTGTGTGACTGGGCAGTCAAGTAACACATGCTACATCCATCTCAATCTTGCGTAAAATTCTTGAACTCAGTTCCATTTACCCAGGGTTACTTTTACAGGAAAAGTCGAGAGGGGGATACAGTTCGGGGCAAGGGCGGATCCAGGGGCATCTGAAAGGGGGCCCAATGCCATTAGGCTTTTGTTAGGATGGCGCCTGCAGAACCTTACCTACCCCCAAATCCTACTCTCTCCCCGGATTCTGGCCACTTTATATTGTTAGGTTGCCAAAAATAAATTAGCTAAAAAATATACGTAGGTACCTACCTTGGCGGTAAGGGACGGGGGAGGTCCCAACTTGACTGCGCCCTTGCAAATGTCAATCAGTAGTATCAACCTATTACCCTGGCCAAACATCAAGTAGCGCCTTTCTAAATAGAGAGAGGTTAACACGTGACTATTTTTGCTAGGCCAAGACCGATTGAAGGACCCTGGTTCGAAGGAAGACCCTTGGTTTGGAGAGGTAATGACCCCCGTCCCCCGCCGGTTTCTACGCCGACGCCTGTAGCGATATGTCAGTGATTGCGAAGAGTCGGAAGAGACAAGACAAGAGACGGTCCCACCGACCATCCGATCGGTATCGGTTCAAATCTGGAGTTCCCGCTGCACTGAACGTAAAATGGTTGGATGGAACCTCAAATTGAAAATTATCTAAGCGCCAGCAACGTTGATTGATGACTAGAGTCTGATCAACGATGTCGATGATTATAGAATCTGAGTAGCGAATTGATTGAAAATGGGCTCAAAATTAAATTTGAAAGGGGGAAGTTCCCCCTTCCCTCCCTAGCCGTTCACGCACAATTTGAAAGGGGGAGCGGAATTTTCGAAGGGGGGAAATTCCCCCTTCCCCCTTTAAAAGTTACCCTGCATTTACCGTTCCACGGAGTGCTCACCGCGCCGGTCGGTGCACCATGGCGACGGATCGGTGCAGCATATAGGTATATGTACCGAAAGGTCGGGCATGCGGATTCATGACCTTACCACTATAAAACAATTCGGAAAAGTACAAATACCTCTTGCTTTGAACAAGCATGTGAAACAGAGACATTGTACATAACAGACTATAGAGACAAACAGAAACAGAGAGCATTTTTAGACTTTGACATGTACCCATATAACTGTGTGGCGGTGCAGAGTAGGTAGAGAGTAGCTATACCAAGTACCAACCATGGGTGATTGGTGGAGCTTTTCCAGGGAAGTTGTTGGGGCAAAAGTCGTCAAACCCACAATGTCCGATTATGAGGTTGAATAAAATGCCACACTGAATCAATTCCTATCATTACAGATATAATATTTTGTATTAAACAGACATTCCAAAGCTCTTCAATGCGAAAAAGATTAATTTCCAAAGCAACACTAGTCTTAAAAATCAGCTTAAGTTGGTGGGGCAAAACGCTTAT